AATAGTGTGGTACAATGGGCTCATCAATAATCTTTCTTTCCACAGCATCTGTCACTGTCTCTCCTCTCAATTGCAGACCAGCAGCTGCAGGGAGAGGTGGAAGCGCAGGCAAAGATGGCCACTGCGACGCCGAAGCCACCGTGGAACACACACCGTGCGTGATGAAATGACATCACGAAAGGGACAGTGACACATTTCAGAGCATGCACGAATGACTCCTTCAAGACAGACCTTATTGAAGAAGGAGCTGTTCACTCATGCTCCGAAACATGCCACCACCACCCTTTCCTGATGTCATTCCATCACGGACGGCGTGTGTTCCATGGTGGTTCCAGTGTAGAGGTGGCCATCTTGGCCTGCGCTTCCACCTCTCCCTGGAGCTGCTGGTCGGCAGGTGACAGGAGAGACAGTGACAGATGCAATGAAAGGAAAGATTATTGATGAGTCCATTGTACCATACTATCCTGTGAGTGTTTTTAACTGCATTATCCAATAAACTGCTGTATACTGCTGCACTTAAAAGCACCTTCTTACCAGGGGCGGACTGACCATTTGGAAACCTGGACACTGCCTGAGGGCCCGGGGTCAGTAAGGGGCCCCATGATCCCCTATTACCTGGTACCTTTTTCATAGGCTTTTTTGAGTTTGGGCAAGGACACAGGGGCCCCATGATCCCCTATTGCCTGGGGGACCCATGAGTTGTCAGTCCGCCTCTGCTTCTTACCTTCTCCTATTGCCAGAAAAGGACATTTCCCTTTTAACTTCTCTTAAAAAATATCACAAAGACCCCTGAAAAGAGGTCTGTGTGTGCTCTTTTTTCTTTTTTTATAAAAGCAGAAATTGGCATTGATATGTCATTTGTCAGCAATGTGAACTACAGCATTTTGTTTTCTTGCAAATGTCACATTTGCTTTAGCACATCCTACTCTAGTATTTGTAGTTTGTGGGATTCCATGGGCATATTGGTCACAGTCTCATGACTGAGAAAAGGTTTGTTATACATACTGCCTACATCTATCTCTCATGGCAGATGGCAGTTACTTCTGGTTTTATAGGTGGAGAACGAGTGTGGCTGTAGGTTGACCAGTGGATGTGACATCACAGACAGTGCTCAGCCATGCAGTCATGTACTGGTGCTGCATGCAAAATGTTAAAACATTATGGGGACAGAGCAATCAATGCATGTGATGGAGGTATGAGAAGGGGCAGGGTACAGTTGGATTGTCAGTGTCAGGGATCGCGGCGTCCTGTCGGCCGGCGCATGCGCGCTGGCGACGGCTCACGCCGGGACACAGGCACCAGGTCCCGGCGAGCCGCGGATGACAGGACGCCGCGCATGTGCAGTGGAAGCTGACAGTGCAGGGCGCACTATTTAAAGATGCCCTGCACTGTCAGTAATTGCCGCAAGGTCTATCTGTGATTCCGAGTTCCTGCACCCGTCTAGTGACCCTGTTTGACCCTGACTACGCTGCCTGCCCCTGTGATTGACCCGGATTGCCCTGACTACGCTGCCTGCTCCTGTGATTGACCCGGATTGCCCTGACTACTCTGCCTGCTCCTGTGATTGACCCGGATTGCCCTGACCATTCTACGGACTGACTTACCCTGCTGACCCTGCGTGTGACCCGACTACTCTTTGCCCGCCGATTCTGTACCTCGCTTACCCCCACGGGACCACGATCCGTTACTACCCTGCTGGGGCCGCCATCCGCTTCACGTCTGGCTCTCCGGTACTTGCATACGTCCCCGGAGGTCTCCTCAGCCACTGGTGGGCCTGCTCAGAGGTCGTGACCTGGTCCGGGACTGTTTCAAGTACATTCCCACCATCAGGGGCCCTGGTGAAAGCACAGCCCGGGCTTAGACCCCACGCTCTGGGTAGGTCTGTCAGTTGGCAGCCTGAGGCACCACCTGGCGGATCATAACAGTCAGGTTGGATGACCCGTTTGGGAACTTTATGAGATGACCTGGAGAATGGAATATATGCAAGATAAAATGTGTAAGTGACAGCACTCCTTTCCTGGTAGCACACATAAAACCCTCCCTGCTCTCCCTGCTCTGAACATGACAACAAAGGAAGGGGTGGTGGGTGGGCTATGAACACAGTGGCTCTAGTCTTGCAGTGACAGCAGCTCCTGAAGCCCACACTAGCTGCCTGCACTCCTGCTGTAAGTCGTACCTTCTCTTCTGTGGAGGAGAGGAGCACTGTGTACTGGACAGAGAGGAGAACTCTGTACTGCAAAGGGAGGAGAGGAGCAATCTTTACTAGACAGGGAAGAGAGGAGAGAGCTCTGTACTGGATGGGTAAGCTCTGTATTGGGGGGGTTGTAAACTGGCCTGTGAAAAATGCACTCCTGAATCCTGCACTCTGTATGCAGCTCACTCCCGAAGCCCTCTACCCTGTATGCAGCGCACTCCTGAACCCAGCATTCTGATATAGCATATTTCTGATTCCTGCACTCTGTATGCAGCACATGCCTGAACGTTGCACTCTGTATGCAGCACACTCCTGAATCCTGCACTCTGTAGTAGAGCACTCCTGAATCCTGCACTCTGTACGTAGTGCACTCCTGAAGTCTGCACTCTGTACACAGCACAGACCTGAACTCTGTACTCTGTATGAAGCACATACTTGAACCCGGCACTCTAAATGTAGCATGCTTCTAAACCCTGTGTGCTGTAGTGCACTCCTGAACTCAGCAATTTGTATGTAGTGCACTAATTAACTCTACATTCTGAATGTAGCACACGCCAGAGCACTTCATTGTGTATGTAGTGCTCTCTTGATCCCTGTGCTCTATACATAGTGCACTCCTGAACCCTGCACTCTGTACGTATTGCACTCCGGAACTCTGTACTTTGTGCATAGCACGCTCCTCAACCCTGCACTCTAAATGTAACACGCTCCTGAACTCTGCATTCTCTTCATAGCACACTTCTGAGCCTTGCACTTTGAATGTAGTGCATTTCTCAACCCTGCATGCTATACACAGTGCATTTCTGAACCCTGCACTCTGTACGCAGCTCACTCTTGAACCCTGCACTCTGTACATACCACACATCTGAACTCTGCACTCTGTATGTAGTGCACTCCTGAACTCTGCACTCTGTTCATAGCACACTTCTAAACTTTGCAATCTGTACATAGCACACTTTGTTCATACCTCATTCCTCAACCTGCACTCTGTACAATGTGTACTTCTGAACTCTGCACTCTGTGTGTGTGGCACACTCCTGAACTCTGTACTCAGTCCTACACTCCTATATCTGCACCTGAACAGTGCAATATGTATGAAGCACATCCATCAGACCCTGAACAATGTACACAATGCACTCCTGAGCACTGTACTCTGTGTGTAGTGTACTCCTCAACCCTGCACTCTGTAAGAAATGGACTTCTGAACCATCCACTCTGTATGCAGCACACTCCTTAACTCTGTACCCTGTATGTAATGCACTTCTGAATTCTGCACTCTGTTTGTAACACACCCCTGTACTTAGCACACTCCTGAACTCCTCATTCTGTATGTAGCTTACTCCTGAACTTTGTACCCTGTGCGTAATGTCTCCTGATATTTACAATGCCCCATTAATACTCTCTGTCGGGGCTCCAGGGTATGACCAGAGGTGTGTGACTGACGCAGGGAAACGCAGACTTCAGATAAGTTATAAACAATTTATTAACACTAACAATACAAACATAAACGCAGTGCAATACTAAAACATAACACAGTGCAAACAAACCAAACCAACCACCCACAGATGACAGTACATACATTGCAAGCGTCGTCAGGCAGGCCGGGTCAATATCAATCGGGCAGGTAGGTACAGGGGGAGCAAGCGGAGAATGGTCGGGGTCACAAGCCAGGTTCAGCAGGTAGCAGGCAGCGTGGTACAGAGGGTCAGGCAGAGGGATGGTCAGGAACGAGCCGGGATCAGAGCAGGAGAAGTCAGCAGAGGTCAGATCAGGCAGGGTCAGCAACAACAGACAGGAACAGGATGCAGGAACAGGATACAGGGCCCAGGAAAAACACACACCAAGGCAGAGTCTGCAGGTCTGGCCATCCCTTAAATACACCAGTATAATCAGTTCCAGGTGTTTGACTGGCTGCAAGGTTGAGTCTCTGATTGCTGGGAGCACCCGCTGGCCAGCCCTGGTACTGCAGCTCATAAGGCAGGTGAGTCCCACCATTGCTGGCCAGTCCATTCCTGACAGTACCCCCCCTCAAGGAGCGGCCTCAGGACGCTCCAAACAGTCCTAGCTGGGAAAAATATTCCACCGCCCGGGTCTGGTAACTGGCGGGATATCAAAGACTGGCACACCGGGCAGGACTCCGGGCAGAGGCACACCGGGCAGCGGCACACCGGGCAGCGGCACACCGGGCAGTGGCACACCGGGCAGAGGCACACCGGGCAGAGGCACATCGGGCTGGACTCCGGGCAGAGGCACATCGGGCTGGACTCCGGGCAGAGGCACATCGGGCTGGACTCCGGGCAGAGGCACATCGGGCTGGACTCCGGGCAGAGGCACATCGGGCTGGACTCGGGGCAGAGGCACATTGGGCTGGACTCGGGGCAGAGGAACATCGGGCTGGACTCGGGGCAGAGGAACATCGGGCTGGACTCGGGGCAGAGGAACATCGGGCTGGACTCCGGGCAGAGGCACATCGGGCTGGACTCCGGGCAGAGGCACATCGGGCTGGACTCCGGGCAGCTAGTCAACTGGCGGAACAGCGGGCAGCGAGTCAACTGGCGGAACAGCGGGCACCGAGTCGTCTGGCAAGACTGCGGGCACCGAGTCGTCTGGCAAGACTGCGGGCACCGAGTCGTCTGGCAAGACTGCGGGCACCGAGTCACCAGGTATGACAGCGGGCACTGGGTCACCAGGCATCAGGTCATTTGGCTCGCCAGCAGGCACCGCATCATCTGGCAAGGCAGTGGGCACCGAGTCACCAGGTACGACAGCGGGCTCTGAGTCAATTGGCACGACAGCGGGCACCAGATCAGGTACCGGATCATCTGGATCAACAGCCGGCATCGAGTCAACAGGCCTAATAGGATCATCAGGCTGGATCAGTTCATTATGCTGGGTAGAGGCATCAGGCTGAGTAGGGGCATCAGGCTGAGTAGAGGCATCAGGCTGAGTAGAGGCATCAGGCTGAGTAGAGGCATCAGGCTGAAGAGAGGCATCAGGCTGAAGACAGGCATCAGGCTGGGTACAGGCATCAGGCTGGGTACAGACCTCAGGCTGAAGTGCGGGTGCCGAGGCACCAGGCTGAACCACGGAAGGCAGGTTCTCCGGTTTGGATACTGGCAGGATGGTACTGGTTGGAAAGAATTTTCGCTTTTTTCTGGTTTTAACTACTGGAGCACTGCAAGTAAATGCAGGTCTGCAAACGAATGGAGCAGCTGGAGACAGAGAAGAGCTGGAGGATGGAACAGTTGCTACAGAGGGCTTTGTTACAGGGTTAAAGGCAGGATAGGTGCAGCGAGTGGGAACAGGGTACTGACATGTGGTAGATAGCAGGGCAGGAGGAGCTGTTGGGAATGCAGAAATAGAGCTTTGAGGAAATAGATTAGAAGCAGGACTGGGTTTTTGTAGGCTGACTGAGGCTGGGTGCAACAAATCTGTCCATGTCTGCAGTATGGGTTGAACAAAGCTGAGCTTACACAAAGCCTGTCTGACCAAAGACTGCACTGCGTTTATACAATCTCTTAGTATCTGTGGTGAACATGCAGCATAATGCTCCAAGAAGCAATCCACATCATCCTCTAATAACCATACCAGGGACTCTACCTGGTCGGCACTAAATGGCGGCAAAAATTCATCCCTGCATTCGGGGGTACCAGATGAAACCAACTCCGCACAAATCTGAATCAATGGCTGCACCTCAGAGAATTCTGTGCCCTGATCTACTAGAACATGAGCGAGCCGTATACATTCTAGCAGTTCATCCCGGGGATACTCCTTCAGAGTTTGATAAGCATACTCTCTGTCATCAAACACTAGCAGATATAAATACACAACCTCATCAAGATCCATCCTTCCCATCAACAAACCAAGATGGCTTCCCTGTGCAGCCACTTCTGGTCAGGATTGGCCTTGGTGTAATGTCAGGTCTCCAGGGTATGACCAGAGGTGTGTGACTGACGCAGGGAAACGCAGACTTCAGATAAGTTATAAACAATATATTAACACTAACAATACAAACATAAACGCAGTGCAATACTAAAACATAACACAGTGCAAACAAACCAAACCAACCACCCACAGATGACAGTACATACAATGCAAGCGTCGTCAGGCAGGCCGGGTCAATATCAATCGGGCAGGTAGGTACAGGAGGAGCAAGCGGAGAATGGTCGGGGTCACAAGCCAGGTTCAGCAGGTAGCAGGCAGCGTGGTACAGAGGGTCAGGCAGAGGGATGGTCAGCAACGAGCCGGGGTCAGAGCAGGAGAAGTCAGCAGAGGTCAGATCAGGCAGGGTCAGCAACAAGACAGGAACAGGAACAGGATGCAGGAACAGGATACAGGGCCCAGGAAAAACACACACCAAGGCAGAGTCTGCAGGTCTGGCCATCCCTTAAATACACCAGTATAATCAGTTCCAGGTGTTTGACTGGCTGCAAGGTTGAGTCTCTGATTGCTGGGAGCACCCGCTGGGCAGCCCTGGTACTGCAGCTCGTAAGGCAGGTGAGTCCCACCATTGCTGGCCAGTCCATTCCTGACACTCTCCCACTGTTAGTGCAATTTGGCCACCGGTACCATTTGATGTGGTGCTATCCATTCCGCATGGATTGGGTCCTGGGGGGGGGGGGGGGGGGGGGTTGGTTATTAATGGCGAGTAGTGCAGTGGAGGGATGGTTGAGTTCTTGCACCTATTCTCTGAGGAGAAAAAACTCCTTTATATAGTTGTTTATATATACAGACATTTATGGTACCCATCATTGTGTAATGAAGGCATCCTTTGGCATAGAAATAAAAGATACTGTATATGGATACAGTATAAGACAGTGAATAGTTATCACATCAGGTATGAACATTACACCAAGAAGCTGTGATTATGGGAATAAGTTTAAGTGGATCATTAACCTTTTGTTATCCATTCTAGGCCTGACCTCTACGTTCCTGTCTACATTAGCGAAAGTAAGTTGAACATATTCCTTTGTGGGGTGTATAAGGAGGAGCACAGGATTGGGCCCAGGATATATTTTATCTTTAATTTAGCAGTTCCAAATTTGCTAATGAGTGGGATAGCCTCTTTATGGTGATCTTTTGATATGATAGATATTTGCTGTGTCTTTTCAGTCTGTTAGTACTGCCAGGGCTGGCCAATTACTCCTCCTTGTACTCTTGTGGCTCCCCTGTTCATGTACCTGTGAATGCTGGAGATCTCTTGTATCAGATTGCCACTGTAAGTGCTATTAGTTTACCAATACAATATATATATATATATATATATATATATATATATATATATTGTGTATATATATTATTTTGATATAAAATTGTGCACAATTTCCTTGTGCAGAAGATGTCTTCTATGTTCTCTTGAAGAAGTGATTGATATCATGAAACATGTAGATGAATTTCCCACCGGAAGGATATATTGATCCTTCATACAGGTTTGAAAGTAATCTATATTTATGGAAAGGTTCGATGAAAGTAATTGTTTGATGTTATGTTAATAATTGTGCAAAGTCTTGTGATTGTTTACTTTTTTTGTGTAATTTAACAAAAGTACTGTATGTTTTAAAACAATATACTTACTGTATATGTGTGTATATATATATATATATATATATATATATATATATATATATATTATAAATCTACAGATGTTTCTTGGGTACCATAATAGTCCCAAGGAATTGAACAGTGTAAATGTGTTTTAAGAAGAAGCTTGTAAGAGGGATTATGGTCTCCACTCCTACTTATTCACCTTTTCCATGTCAATAATGGATTCACGAACAGTGGTTTATTTCTTTAGTATATCCACCCCCTATGTGTTTTGGTCAAATTGTTAAGTAAAATAGTATCTTACAAAGAAGGATTCCCTCACTTATAGATTATTTTCCAAGGTATTCTATCATATGAAACAGAGAAGTATTTTCATTCTATTGTGAAGAACGGCCTGTATCCCTTTCACTACCAGGACCTGAGCTTCACTTTAAACCACAGGTGACTAGACTATTTTCCACTTTAATTTTCCACTTACAACTTTAACACTAAAAGTCTGAATGTTATTATTTTTCACTTATAGCTTTCAGAGTTTGTAAAATGACCCCCTAACCATATCCCATCTGCCAGTGGTGTATTTAAGTTTTGTGCTGCCCTATTGTATGTCTGGTGGTATTGTCCACATTTAGTCCGCTTCTGGAATGACATCTTCATATTCATGACCTCTGTTACCCATATATCCTGCATCCCAGATGCTAAAATTGCCATTAGGAGTGGGAGTTGAGCAGTGGCCCATTCATTTTCATATTTTTGTAACCCACACTTTTATAGGGTCATGAGACTATGGAATAACATGAAAACAGCCCCTTTGTCTGTAGTCATCCAGATAATTAATGACCACGTGATAACCAAATATTTATTTGCCAAAGCACACCTAACACTAAACAAATTATGTTGAAAATGGGACCCTTGGCTGTATGATAGCAGATGCACCACCCCAAATTAGGAAAATATACTTTAACTCCATTATTAGTCCTACCATATCAAATCCCCCTTTCTGCTCTTACACTTACAGGTTACATTTATTGATAAACAAATTGACCAGCAGCATCTCAGGAAATATGGCCATATTCCTGTAATTTATTAGAAATGTATTACTGCATACAGTCTTTATTTTATTATTTACTTTTTTTGGATATGTTTTATAGCAGAAAGCAAAAAATATAGTTTTTTTTTTTAATTTTTTGGTCTTTTTTTGTTTATGTAACAAAAAAAATTAAAACCTAGTGGTGCTCAAATATCACCAAAAGAAAGCATTATATGTGTGTGAAACAAAATGACATAAATTTCATTTGGGTACAGCATTGCTTGACCGCGCAATTGCCAGGTAAAGTAATGCAGTGCCAAATAGAAAAAAATGGCCTGTTATAAAGTGGGTAAAATCTTCCAGAGCTTAAGTGGATTCTAGAATGCTAATTATTTCAATAGAGATTTCTTTGTTTTTTTCCTTTACAGACCACACAGTAAGAGGTTAAAAATGTTCTGCTGACTATTAGAACCAGGTAAAAATTGTAGCAGTGATATTCTTTGCATACCAAAATCTATACTATGTCTATGTCATGTGCATTTTGTGTATTCTATTGCATGATAGCTCTCACTGAAGTATTTTTATGTACCTATCTTTATAACTAGTTGGAAGCTTTATCTCACCCAATACAGCTTTTGGGCTCCAAAACCCATAGCAGGATTTACCAATCCAGAAAAAACTGAGACTAGTTCTGTCCTAAAAAGACATACATCCTAAAATCCCTTAAGCTGCATGACTGAAAACCCTGGGTGACACCCAAATTGCTCAAACACTGTGACAGATAATATCCACTAAGTAATTAGCATTTTCCATTTGAAAGTTTTATTACAAAAATATATATTTGCTAAGACTTTACAATTTGTATTCCCGATAGTCTAGGTAAAACCATGAACAATTGATAAAAGTAATTGTATTTTTACCATGAGAAATTGATTACTACGGTTTTGCATTTTGTCATCGGTTTTACATTTCACAATGGTCGCTCTGGTACAGTTTACAGTCCTCACACACTAAGGGAAAATATGTCACCCTCAGGTACATTTATTTGCGATAGCTTAGAACAAGGGAATGTCTTTTTTTCATGTCTTCAGCACCTAAATACATCAAAGGCTGAAGTATTGTTATTCCCTGCTGAGCCCAAAACATGTCAGACTTTTCTAATTCTCTAGCACTTTTATATACAGTATTTACTTTTATGTTAACATAAAATACCATAATCAATCAGTACTGGCTGCCAACATGAAATACATATACATTTCAGAGAAGGTTTGTTACTCCCTTTGACCTTTTGTAACAAAGAAAAAATGCTTACATAAATTATCTGCAAAATCTTTATTCCAAAAAATTGAGCCAATGTTTAAATAGACAACACAATTTATCATTTTTTTAATCAATTTACAAGTTGGATCTGGGAGTTCCAAGAGACTTTGTCACCAGCTAAAAAAATGCATGTAAAAGAATGCATGCAGAAAAAGCAAATATTTTAAATGCTTACCTATAGCATTTTTATCTTTCCATAGGCCCTTTTTTATTCACCTCAGAGTGCATCTGAACTTGCAAGGAATTTAATACTCCAGGAAAGCATCAATTCCATAGCACAGCCTCATCCTCTCTTCTTGCACATCATAGCACTTTCCTCTCCTGGAAATGTGTAATTACTCATTGTGCTCTCCCAGCCCTCTGCTGCTCACCTCATTTCCTTACATAAACTTTTTTTGTTTTATATATATATAT